CTTACTGCTTTTTAAGCTGAATCTTGGCTGATTTTCTTGAACTTTGACTTTAGGTATAAAAATTCAACCAGACATTCTCTCCTTACTGTGGTCAGCTGACATCATAACCACTAAGGCTTAATGAGCTTAACTTGCACTTTCATCACTAGCAAAGGTCTTGAAATTATTTCTCTTACTGAGTCATAATGGGTGTGTGTATGAATCACTCTCACATAATTTAGATATAAAAACCTATGAGGATGGTGGGGGAGGGGGTGGATAAAGGACTCCTTTCATTTTTATCCGTACTTCCCAGATTGGCTGAATCCCTGATTATTTGACCCATCATTGTTATTAATATGATTAATAAACTACCTATTTATTGATTGAATTGTTCCTCCTGACTTGAAATAGCCTGCAAATGGAGCCTGCCTAAATGACCTTCAACTTCCTAACCCTGTAATTCATTCTGTCTTATTGGGATGGTATTGCTAGAGCAGGCATCCCCAAACTACGGCCGCATACGGCCCCCTGAGGCCATTTATCCGGCCCCCTGCCGCACTTCAGGAAGGGGCACCTCTTTCATTGGTGGTCAGTGAGAGGAGCACAGTATGTGGCGGCCCTCCAACAGTCTGAGGGACAGTGAACTGGCCCGCTGTGTAAAAAGTTTGGGGACGCCTGTGCTAGAGTATGTGTGTGTCTACACACACACACACACACACACACACACAAAAGGATGCCAGACAGGTTCTTCCAGTGTGATTTGATTCCTTCTCCATGATACTGTGTATGAGTTAGCAGTATCATACTAGTTTCCTCCCTCCATTACCAAGGCAGAGCTGCTTCCGATGAATGTGCCTCTTAAGTATTTCCCAACCCAATCTAACCATGAACTGAGCAACTCACTGGAAGGAAGCTGCCTGTCTCCACCTTCCTAGTACTCTGCAGAGGGAGGTAAAGGAACTGTGAAAAATGAACTAGAAATATGTCAACCTCAGGATTCTGACTGCCTCAGAGGATAACTGGGGAAATGCTTTGCCTCTGACATCACTGGAGCCCAGTCTGGATTATTTTCACACATAATTGAATTCATTCTTCACTCCTAGGCTTAGGGGTGTGAGACTTAAAGGACCATACGCTCTCTAGCCACAAGTGTTTATGCAAAGGGTGGATGTCCACTTGACAAGAATGGTCCTTTCCATTCCTTCATTTAGCAAGCACTTATTGGACACTTTACTCTGTACCAGGCACCTACAATATGAAAATGAAAAGTCTTTTTTTGCCAGGCACAGTGGCTCATGCCTATAATCCTAGCACTTTGGGAGACTGAGGCAGGTGGATGACCTGAGGTTAGGAGTTTGAGACTAGTCTGACCAATATGGCGAAACCCCATCTCTACTAAAAATATGAAAATTAGGCGTGGTGGCAGGCGCCTGTAATCCCAGCTACTCGGGAGACTAAGGCAGGAGGGTTGCGTGAATCTGGGAGGTGGAGGTTGCAGTGGCCTGAGATTGCGCCACTGCACTGCAGCCTGAGCAACAGAGCAAGACTCCGTATAAATTTTTTTTTTTTTCCTTTTGGAGATGGGGTCTTGATATGTTGTCCGAGGCTGGCCTCAAACTGGGTTCAAGGGATCCTTCCACCTCAGCCTCCTGAGTAACTGGAATTACAGATGTATGTCACTGCGCATGGTTAAGACATGGTCTTTGATTCCAAGGAACTCAATAGTTTAGACTTCAGGACAGCTACCAGGAGAAACCTATACAGGGTATTAACAGGCTTTATAGAAGTTAGCAGGGAAGACGGATGGGGAGTGGCATTCCAGACAGAGGAAACAGCAAAAACAAAGGCACAGAAGCAAGAAACAATATGGTGTCTATGTATCATGTTACTGGAGGATCACTATTAGTGCAAAGGAAAAGATTCAAGTAGATAACCTTTCAGTCCTGACATTCTGTGATTATTTGCCTGCTTCCACTGTGGTCATTTACTTCTGTGGGCTTTTCTTGGGCTACTGCTATATTTTCTTGGTGTTTTCATAGGCTCCAACATGCACGCTAAGTACTCATACCTTCCTCTGCTGTCTCCTTGTAACTGAGGTAGGTTGTTTACTATAACCATTCCTTAAAACTGGCTGGACATACTTTACCATTTCAGGTTATTTTATTTTATTTTATTTTGAGACGGAGTTTTGCTCTTGTTACCCAGGCTGGAGTGCAATGGCGCGATCTCAGCTCACTGCAACCTCCGCCTCCTGGGTTCAGGCAATTCTCCTGCCTCAGCCTCCTCAGTAGCTGGGATTACAGGCACGTGCCACCATGCCCAGCTAATTTTTTGTATTTTTGGTAGAGACGGGGTTTCACCATGTTGACCAGGATGGTCTCGATCTCCTGACCTCGTGATCCACCCGCCTCGGCCTCCCAAAGTGCTGGGATTACAGGCTTGAGCCACTGTGCCCGGCCCATTTCAGGTTATTAAGCGCAATTCTTAGATGCTCATGTTATAAAAATATGAACAGTGAAGGCTGCTTCCTGAGTTCTGCTGTCCTATTAAGAGATCAGAAATACTATCTAGTCCTTTTAAAAGCTTCCATTTTGGGCCGGGCGCGGTGGCTCAAGCCTGTAATCCCAGCACTTTGGGAGGCCGAGGCGGGTGGATCATGAGGTCGAGAGATCGAGACCATCCTGGTCAACATGGTGAAACCCCGTCTCTACTAAAAATACAAAAAATTAGCTGGGCATGGTGGCACATGCCTGTAATCCCAGCTACTCAGGAGGCTGAGGCAGGAGAATTGCTTGAACCCAGGAGGCAGAGGTTGCGGTGAGCCGAGATCGCGCCATTGCACTCCAGCCTGGGTAACAAGAGCGAAACTCCGTCTCAAAAAAAAAAAAAAAAAAAAAAAAAGCTTCCATTTTGGCCAGGCACGGTGGCTAATCCCAGCACTGTGGAGGCTGGGGGTAGGGGTGGGGGGCAGATCATGAGGTCAGGAGTTCGAGACTAGACTGTCCAACATGGTGAAACCCCGTCTGTAGTAAAAATACAAAAATTAGCCAGGTGTGGTGGCTCAGGCCTGTAGTCCCAGCTACTAAGGAGGTTGAGGCAGGAGAATGGTTTGAATTCAGGAGGTGGAGGTTGCAGTGAGCTGAGATTGTGCCACTGCACTGCAGCCTGGGCGACAGAGCAAGACTCCGTCTGTCTCAAGAACAAAACAAAACAAAACAAAACAAAGGCTTCCATTGTAATTCTCCATTCATGGCAGCCCACTCTCTTCACTTACGGAGTTTTCAGCTGCTAAAAAGCCTTCACAAAATATACTCCACCATCTCTTCCTGTTTAGAGCCCTTTATCTAATCATCCCCCTATGTTAAAGGCCCAAGAGTTTGATTTTCTGTCAGAGTTCAGAGTTCAAATTCTAGCTCTTCCACTTACTAGTTGTGTGACCTTGGGCAAGTTTACTCAACTCTCCTCTACTGTGGTTCCTTCATTTGTCAAATGAAATAATACCAACTTCGGGTGGGCACGGTGGCTCATGCCTGTAATCCCAGCACTTTGAGAGGCCAAGGCGGGTGGATCACGAGGTCAGGAGTTCAAGACCAGCCTGGTCAAGACGGTGAAATGCCATCTCTACTAAAAATACAAAAAGAATTAGCCAAGCATGGTGGTGTGCGCCTGTAATCCCAGCTACTTGGGGGGCTGAGGCAGAAAATCGCTTACATTTGGGAGGCGGAGGTTGTAGTGAGCAGAAATCAAGCCCTTGCACTCCAGCTTGGGTGACAGAGCGAGAGTCTCTCTCTCTTCTCTCTCTTTCTCTCTCTCTCACACACACACACACAAAACACCACCAATTCAACTTCGTGGGGGTGCTTGTGAAAATTAAGGCGATGTAGGTAAAATACTGAGCACGTTCTCTGGCATACACTCAAAGCCCTCAATATTGGCTCTCTTCATGAGCTAGGTACCAATTAACTGGTGATCGTAATATTGTTGCTTTCCTCTTTCTAGGCTTTATGGCTGTGTTTTATTTGTTACTGAGAGGTAAAAGATAAATGTTTACCATGACCTAGAATTGGGTTCTGGCCTTTAAAAAAACCTGAGGGTTAGATGAGTTACTGGCTTTGGAAGCTGGCCTCCAAATTACTGCTCTAATTTATATTTTTCATTAAAAGCTCAGCTTGCCTCTTCCATATAGCCGTTTCTCTGGCTCTGAAACCCTAGTGTTTCGCCATAAAAGATTTTAAAATTAAGGGGTCATAATTCTCGCCCCACGAAGTGTGGATTAATGGTAAGAAGGTGCATAGAACATAATCTAACTTTGAACGAAATAAAAGCAAAGAGTTGGCTCTGTTTCTCACCTTTGAAGTACAAATCAAGAGATACTATGATGAAGCATAGTTTTTCTTTATATAGCTGTGTAGAACTTTTATCAAAAAAAACCACTAATTCAGGCATCAGGAGATCTGGATCCTACGCTCTTCACTGTCACCAAGACGCTGTGACCTCTAACCTTGTATGCAGGTTTGCTTTGTGCCTTCCGGGGTTGAGGTAAGTAAAGTGCCTAGCATCATACCTGGCGCACAGAACCGCTCCCCAAACGGTAGGTATCATGTAGTAGTACTGAAAATCTAGTTCATCGGGACCATGCAAATGGGTACCAGTGAGAAGGGGAACCACATCTTGACACTTCCAGTCGAAGGAAGAGCGCGGAAGCAGAGTCGCGCGACAGTAAAGACTACGCCTCCCGCCGTGCTTTGCGGCGAGGCCGTCCCGCCTTACCCAGAGTCGCCCTGCAGCAATCGCGCGTCTTTCCACTGAGGCCCCGGATGTAGATTCTCTTTCCCACCCTACGCCGCTCAGTGGGCGTGGCCTCACTGTGACTCAAAGACTTGGGGCTCTCTCATTGGCTGTAACTCTTCCTCAGGATTGGAAGCAAAAAAGAGGCGGTACTCAAGGCGAACAGCGCTGTGACCACAGCCAATCAGAATCGAGACTGGGCTTTGGCGGGAGGCTGGAACGCTGTGGTAATTCAGATTTGGCGCGAGCGCGGCTGGGTTTTGCTGCTGCTGGTGTGCAGTTTGTTCGGGGCTTGTGGTGGTGAGTCCCCGAGGCTGCGTGTGAGAGACCTGAGAAGGAGCCTGCACTGAGGAGGTGGAAAGGAGGGGATTGCTGGAGGAGGCCTGCGATCTGTGAGGCAGCGGAGTTGGGGGAAGGCTGCGGGTTCCGGCGAGGCGCGAGGTGAAGTGAGGGGAAAAGAGCTGAGCTCGCCGGAGGTCTGAGGTCGGGATCAGGGAAAGGGCAGGCGCCCTCGGGGTAGTTCCAGCAGTTGTGCGTGGTGTGAAGAAGCTCGAAGTTGGAGGAAGGAAATGTTCTGGGGTGCGTTGAGAGCTGCTTCGAATGAGGACTGGGTGCAGGGGCGGAGAGACTGAGAGAAGATTGACCCGCAGTGTGAGGGCTTGGGAGAGGAGATTAAATGTGGCGGCTGCTGGGCTGACCTGGTGATCAAACACCCCTCATGCCTGGAGGAAGGGAATTAGAAGTTCCATACAAATCCGTTGAAGTAACTTTTTTTTTTTTTTTTTTGAGACGGAGTCTCTTGTCGCCCAGGCTGGAGTGCAATGGCGCGATATAGGCTCACTGCAAACTCCACCTCCCGGGTTCAAGTGATTCTCCTGCCGCAGCCTCCCGAGTAGCTGGGACTACAGGCACCCGCCACCAGACCCAGCTACTTTTTGTATTATTTTAGTAGAGACGGGGTTTCACCATGTTGGCCAGGCTGGTCTCGAACTCCTGACCTCGTGATCCTCCCGCCTCGGCCTCCCAAAGTACTGAGATCACAGGCGTGAGCCACCGTGCCCGGCCCATGTCTGGTAACTTCTTATTGCATTTATCAATTGGCTAAAAACTTGGACTCTGGTGCCAGAACGCCTGGGGTTACATTGCTGTTTTTCTGTGACTTTGGGCCACTGTTTATCTCAGTTTTCGCATCTGTAAAATAAAGGCTAATACTAGTACCTACCTCTAAGGCAGTTGTAAAACAAAATGACTTGGCACATAAAGTGCTTATAACGGCGCCTTCCACGTAGTAGGCAGACAACAAATGTCAGCTGTTCTTGTATCGATTGGATGTGAAGCAGAACTGAATGTCAAAATATTGTGGTAACACAATTTGCCTAGGAAATAAGTGTTAATCATCAGTATAAATAAATTCCATGTTAGTTATTTTCCCTTCACTTTTACATATTGACTTTTCCTGTTATTTTTTGTATCTAGTTGTGCTGCCATCATGCCTCAAACCCGATCCCAGGCACAGGCTACAATCAGTTTTCCAAAAAAGAAGCTGTCTCGGGCATTGAACAAAACCAAAAACTCTAGTGACACCAAACTAGAACTGACAAATGTCCAAACTGTACCCTGTTCTCATGTAAAAGTCCTGCCTCTCAGCCCCAGGAAACGTCTGGGTAAGCCATCTGTTACATCACTTTTTGACCTTTCTTTTCTCAATAAGATGTGTGTCCTTTGAAGGAGCTTTCTTTTTTTTTTTTTTTTTTTTTTTTTTGAGACGGAGTTTCGCTCTTGTTACCCAGGCTGGAGTGCAATGGCGCGATCTCGGCTCACCGCAACCTCCGTCTCCTGGGTTCAAGCAATTCTCCTGCCTCAGCCTCCCGAGTAGCTGGGATTACAGGCACGTGCCACCATGCCCAGCTCATTTTTATATTTTTAGTAGAGACAGGGTTTCACCATGTTGACCAGGATGGTCTCGATCTCTCGACCTCGTGATCCACCCGCCTCGGCCTCCCAAAGTGCTGGGATTACAGGCTTGAGCCACCGCGCCTGAAGGAGCTTTCTAAGTTCGGTTAAGACTTTTTTTTCCCCCCCCCACCTCAAGAAAGAGAGAGTCTTGTGTTGCCTCCCAGGCTGGAGTGCAATGGCGTGATTTCAGCTCACTACAACCTCCACCTCCTAAGTTAAAGCAATTCTTCTGCCTCAGCGTCCCAAGTAGCAGGGGTTACAGGCACCCACCACCACGCCCAGCTAATTTTTATTTTTATTTTTTGTATTTTTAGTAGAGACAGGGTTTTGCCATGTTAGCCAGCCTGGTCTCTGAACTCCTAACCTCAGGTGATCCATCTGCCTTGGCCTCCCAAAGTGGGATTACAGACATCATACCCAGCCTTTTTTTTTTTTTTTAAAGATGGGGTTTCACCATGATGGCCAGGCTGGTCTTGAACTCCTGACCTCAGGTGATCCACCCACCTCCGCCTCCCAAAGTGCTAGGATTACAGGCATGAGCCACCACTCCCAGCTCTCTCTCTCTCTCTTTTTTTTTTTTTTTTTTTTTTTTTTTTTTTTTTTTTTTTGGACAAAGTCTTGCTCTTTTGCCAAGGCTGGCGTGCACTGCCACCATCTTAGCTCACTGGTTGTAGTGATGGCCAGGTTGGTCTTGAACTCCTGGCCTCAAGCGATCTGCCTGCCTTGGCCTCCCAAAGTACTGGGATTACAGGCGTGAGTCACCGCACCTGGCCTAGGACTACTCTTTATTTAGTTATTTTCAGAATGGTTACTAACTGCTTACTGAACTCCAGAGTTAAGCTGCTTACTGAGGTCACTTTCTGAACGACTTAATAGGTTTAATCTTTAATTCCTTAATACTGAAGTTAGTTCTGTCTTTGTTGTTACAAGGTATTATGAAACGTACCTCACTATTTGTGAAATTAAAAGAAACAAAAAGGTGACATGCTGGATATTTTCCATCCTTTTCTTAGTTTTAGAACAGTGGTTGGTAATTCTTTCTTGTTTTGGAACGTTTGTTTTTAAATGAGGGGTGATTTGGTTGTTTCTGGAGACATTTTTGGTTGTTACAGCTGGGGGATGCCACTGGCTTAATGGGTAGAGGCCAGAGATGCTGCTAAACATCCTACATTGCCCAGGACAGCTCCTTGACAACGAAGAATTACTTGGTCCTATGTATCAGTGGTGCCAAGGTTGAGAAAACCTGTTTCAAACCAGTTTTACAATTTCATCCCACTAAAACCCATTTGGTTTCTACTAAATGCAGTAGTCCCCACTTATCCATAGGGGAGACATTCCAAGACTCCAGTGGATGCCTACAATCGAGGATAGTACTGAACCCTACATGTCCTATATTTTTAATCTGATAACCAAGTCAGCTACTAAGTGACTAGTGTGTGGGTAGCATATACAGCGTGGATATGCTGGCTGAAGGGATGTTTCATGTCCTGGGTAGGATGGTGAGAGATTTCATCATGGTACTCAACAGCATGCAATTTAAAACTTTTCAATTATTTATTTCTGGCATTTTCCATGTAATATTTTCAGACTGGGGTAACTACAATGGTGGATGAGGAGACTGCTGTAGTAAGAGTGGTGATGCCATCTAGTGGCCAATATTTGCTGCTAGGTGAGAAGGCATTTTATTTTGGTGGTTCAGGTGAAGGTAGAAATTCGCCTCTTTCTGGGAGAGGCAGAGGTCTTGCACATCCTTTTACTATCCAATGCTATGCGTGACTACATTTTGATTTTATTATGTTTCAGGTGATGACAACCTATGCAACACTCCCCATTTACCTCCTTGTTCGCCACCAAAGCAAGGCAAGAAAGAGAATGGTCCCCCTTGCTTACATACACTTAAGGGACGAAGATTGGTATTTGACAATCAGCTGACAACTAAGTCTCCTAGCAAAAGAGAACAAGCCAAAGTTCACCAAAAGAAAATACTTTCTTCAGTTAGAAAAAGTCAAGAGATCACAACAAGTCCTGAGCAGAGATGTCCACTGGAGAAAGAATCTGCATGTGTGAGACTATTCAAGCAAGAAGGTTTGTTCTTACATGGCAACTGCTAGTGCAGCTATTGTAAACAAGGCTGATGATTCCAAATGAAACCACCCAGTGGGTCTTCTCAGTCACCTTCTGTTGTGTCTAATTGACCTTTTATATCTGGCACAGGCACTTGCTACCAGCAAGCAAAGCTGGTCCTGAACACAGCTGTCCCGGATCGGCTGCCTGCCAGGGAAAGGGAGATGGATGTCATCAAGAATTTCCTGAGGGAGCACATCTGTGAAAAAAAAGCTGGAAGCCTTTACCTTTCCGGTGCTCCTGGAACTGGAAAAACTGCCTGCTTAAGCCGAATTTTGCAAGACCTCAAGGTACATTAAGAGTCTGAATTATGATGCAGTTGGTAAAATGACTCTTAGGTGTTTTTGAAACAGGGTCTCACTCTTTTGTCCAGGCTGTAGTACAATGGCTTGATCACGGCTCACTACAGCCTTGACCTCCTGGGCTCAGGTGATCCTCCCACCTCAGCCTCCTGGGTAGCTGGGACTACAGGCATGCATCACCACACCCAGCTAAAATTTATAGTCAGGGTTTCACCATGTTGCCCAGACTTGTCCTGAACTGAGCTCAAGCAATTCACCTGCTTCAGCCTCCCAAAGTGCTGGGATTACAGGTGTGAGCCACTGGGCCCAGATGGCACTTGATTTTTAAGAGTTAAGAAAGCGGAGTGGGCACTGTGGCTCTCACACCTGTAATCCCAGCACTTTGGGGGCTCGGAGGGGGGGATTACCTGAGGTCAGGAGTTTGAGACAAGCCTGGCCAACATGGTGAAACCCCCTCTCTGCTAAAAATACAAAAATTATCTGGGTATGTGGTGCATCCCTGTAACCCTAGCTACTTGGGAAGCTGAGGCAGGAGAATTGCTTGAACCCGGAGACAGAGGTTACAGCGAACTGAGATTGTGCTGCTGCACTCCAGCCTGGGCGACAGAGTGAGACTCTGTCTTAAAAAAAAGACGAAGATTATAAGATTGACGGTCTCTTCAAATAAGACATTTATAATTTCATTGTTTAAATCTTTCCAGATGAAAGTAGAGCTTCCTTACATGCTGTTAGCTCTTCAAAGACGTTTTAGGCTCTATCAGATCTTTTATTTTCTGAGGCCAAAATAACTCTGATGTTTGCATTTTTTATTTCTAGAAGGAACTGAAAGGCTTTAAAACTATCATGCTGAATTGCATGTCCTTGAGGAGTGCCCAGGCTGTATTCCCAGCTATTGCTCAGGAGATTTGTCAGGAAGAGGTATCCAGGCCAGCTGGGAAGGACATGATGAGGAAATTAGAAAAACATATGACTGCAGAGAAAGGCCCCATGATGTAAGTATTGTTCTGCTTCATGTTGCTCTGTGAAAATCTGCAAGGTCTGTTGCCCATAAAAAGAACATTTTGTATATTTGCTCTATGAAGGATAGTTACATAAACTTAAAGGGGAAGAAGAGAAGGAAGATACATCTAATTTTAAACTGGATTACTTATAGATGCTGTGGGGTATCCTTGTAGCAGTAACTAGAGATAGGATAGATTATGATCCTTAAACTGTACTCAGCTTTAGGAAAGTGACCTGAAGTCAGCCTGTATCAGACAGATTGGAGGGTTAAGAAGGTGAATATGGATACTAACTGTTTCTCTCTATATGTAGTGTGTTGGTATTGGACGAGATGGATCAACTGGACAGCAAAGGCCAGGATGTATTGTACACACTGTTTGAATGGCCATGGCTAAGCAATTCTCACTTGGTGCTGATTGGTTAGTGCTCAATTGTTAAAAATGTTACATAGTGGTTCTAAAGTATTCTTTTTTAATATGTATATATTTTCAGCTTATTTATCAGTGATTTTATCTTAAACCAGCTTTGTGCCTCGTCAAAATAAGAAAGTTAAATGACTGTACCTCTTACTTAGCAGATACTTCTTATCTATTGGGATGGGGTAGGACACAAGTGGGAAGCAACAATTAGAATGCTAGATTCTGTAACTGGAAATTTATTTAGGTTTCAGAGCATTTAGTTTCCCCTTTAGGATGATTTGACCAATGGTTAGTGTTGTTGATCTCCTCCTTAGGCATTGCTAATACCCTGGATCTCACAGATAGAATTCTGCCTAGGCTTCAAGCTAGAGAAAAATGTAAGCCACAGCTGTTGAACTTCCCACCTTATACCAAAAATCAAATAGTCACTATTTTGCAAGATCGACTTAATCAGGTAAGTGCCAACTATTTTGCCAAATTATGTGTTCCTTGGATTTGCCTGTGCTAGGAAAATTTAACAATAGTTCTAAAATATTTTTGCCTTGATTGTTTTATTAATGGAGCAAGGAGTTCCTATGGACCATAGTCCATAGGACTATGAAATTCACTTTTATGTGAATTTCTACTCCATTCATTTACTGGGTGTCTCAGTGTTGAAATAAAAGCAAGAGTTAGAGGAATCACTCAAGTGCTTTCTCTTTTTTTCCCCCCTTCAGACAGAGTTTTGCTCTTGTTACCCAGGCTGGAGTGCAATGGCACGATCTCGGCTCACCGCAACCTCTGCCTCCTGGGTTCAGGCAATTCTCCTGCCTCAGCCTCCCGAGTAGCTGGGATTACAGGCACGTGCCGCCATGCCCAGCTAATTTTTTGTATTTTTAGTAGAGATGGGGTTTCCCCATGTTGACCAGGATGGTCTCGATCTCTTGACCTCGTGATCCACCCGCCTCGGCCTCCCAAAGTGCTGGGATTACAGGCTTGAGCCACTGCGCCCAGCCCCTACTTATTTATTTTTAATGGAGACGGGGTTTTGCCATGTTGGTCAGGCTGGTCTTGAACTCCTGACCTCAGGTAATCCACCTGCCTTGGCCTCCCAAAGTGCTGGGATTACAGGTGTGAGCCACCACACCTGGTCTTCAAGTGCTTTTTTTAATGACCTTTAAAAAATAGTTCCTATGAAAAAACTTTTTCTTTTGAAAGTGACTAAATAGATTTTTTTTATTTTTGCTAATTTCAGCTCTGATTGCTTTTTTTCCATTTATGAACCTCTACCATATCCCTACAAAATGCTTAAATGTGTCAAAACTCTCAAACATCTCCATTATTTATGAAGAAAAAGGCATCTTTTTGACCCTAAAGAGTTGCCAATCAAGTTTAGAGTTAAATGTGAAAATATGCTTGGGACCTAAATTACAGAGGGAGAATCTTATAGTTTTTTGTTGTTTTTGTTTGTTTGTTTGTTTTGTTTTTTGAGACGGAGTTTCGCTCTTGTTACCCAGGCTGGAGTGCAATGGCGTGATCTCGGCTCACCGCAACCTCCGCCTCCTAGGCTCAGGCAATTCTCCTGCCTCAGCCTCCTGAGTAGCTGGGATTACAGGCACGCGCCACCATGCCCAGCTAATTTTTTGTATTTTTAGTAGAAACAAGGTTTCACCATGTTGACAAGGATGGTCTCGATCTCTCGACCTTGTGATCCACCCGCCTCGGCCTCCCAAAGTGCTGGGACTACAGGCTTGAGCCACCGCGCCTGGCTAGAATCTTATAGTTCAAACTGTCATCTTCTATGTCTTGTCTGAAGGTATCTAGAGATCAGGTTCTGGACAATGCTGCAATTCAATTCTGTGCCCGCAAAGTCTCTGCTGTTTCAGGAGATGTTCGAAAAGCGCTAGATGTTTGCAGGTGAGTTATGACACTGTTGGCTGCTTTTATTAAAAAAAAAAAAAAGAAATGCTGTTAATTGTCTCGTGTAACTCAAGTGAATGTGGCTTAAGAGGCTCAGTTCTGCTGCTTTTTTACGCTCAGAAAGGAGGACTTGTTTCTCAGTGGGGAGCTGTGGATTTCTACCGTGTTAATGTCTGAAACATTATCAGTCCATTACCTACAGAGGGAGAAACAAATGAGATGTTGTTGGCACTCCCTGTGGTGATTATAGATTGGTTAATTACATTTGTATTAAAAAAGACTCCAGTTTACTTTTCCATTAGCTGATCTCAAGCAGGTTTATTTATGGACCTGAACCATCTTTGCCTTTAGACTTTTTCCTCTTCCTTTCCTTTTGTCAGCACCCCTTCTTCCCTCCAGTTGGTGGTCCCCTAGAGTTGTACTCTAGACCTCTTTCTCCCTTCCCATCCCCCTGTCCCTCCTGCTGGGGAAAGCCTCTGTGCTGACTGATGAAATTTCTTCCTTCCCAGTAGGGACACTGGGTCCATTAAAATGATACTTGCTGTGCTGGCCTGCTGGTCCAAACTTCCCCTATTGCCATGCAGAAGATCCAGGTCTGGCTTATGGCTTCCTGTGGGCAAAGTACTTTGGAGAGAGCAGTGGGAGAGTCAGTTCTTCCTGTTGCTAGATTGCATGATCCTGAATTTAAAAGTTTCCTCTAATCAGCAAACTACTTGGGTAAAGACTGCGACTATGAGCAATAGTCATGTAGGCTAGTGTGGTTTAGCCTACACATATCCTATGTATATATAACGGAAGATATCCCTTTTAGGTTTTGTGTGTATGGGTGGTGTTGGCTCCCTTTAGTCAGTCACCCACACTACATATCCTCTCCTACCATGACATTTTCTCCTCACCCAAAATGTTATCATTGGCTTAATGTACGATGACCTACTTGGCATCTATTAGGAGGAAATCACAGAAGCTTCTCAAATCTGACATCCATGAATTATTTGAAAGCAATTAAGTCCCATTATCTGAGAAATAACCCAGTTTTATTTTGGGGCTTTAAAATTACAAAACATCATAATTTCAGAGTTATACACAGGATGTATATAGGCTAAATCGTGTTAGCCTATATGACTGTTGCTCATAGTTGCAGTCTTTGAGCAATACTCATTAATGAGCCTGCTTTTGAGCGTGGTGGTTTGGTATGGTGTTTGGTTTGGCTTAGACTAAATTAATGTAAAAAAATTTTTTTTTATAGGAGAGCTGTTGAAATTGTAGAGTCAGATGTCAAAAGCCAGACTATTCTCAAACCACTGTCTGAATGTAAGTAGTTTATCTCCTTCCCGTCTTCCTTTGTAATTGGAAGCTTAGCTTTTCTGAGGAAAGAGGTAGAAAGATGAAATGAACTTAGTTAAATCCAAACTCACCCATTTTTATGTGTGTCTTTTTTAGTCAGTTTCATCTACTTCATTTCAATCTTGCCTGCCAGTACTGTAGTTCATGCATTACTGGAAATGAGTTCCCAAGGTATTGTGTAAATGGCTAGGACAGAGTGAGTTTTCTTTTCAAGCTCTAGAAATGAAAATTGTAGACAATGAGGTTGGATCAGCTCTCTGGGTGCTTATGTTGAGTGCACTTTAGGTCTCAATATAGGTGAAAGCAAAGCCTGATAAATAATGGAGAATTGGGTAAAAGAACTGTGAGGCCCCATGCAGTGGTTCACACCTGTAATCCCAGGACTTTGGGAGGCCAAGGTGGGAGGATGGCTTGAGACCAGCCTGGGCAATGTAGTGAGGACTCGTTTCTACAAAAAAAAAAAAAAAAAATTAATTTTGCAGCCACAAAAAATGAGTTGGCTGGGTGTAGTGGCTCATGCCTGTAATTCTAGCACTTGAAGGCTGAGGAGGGTGGATCAGTTTAGACCATCCTGACCAACATAGATAAACCCCGTCTCTAAAAATACAAAAATTACCTGGGCATGGTGTTCCATGCCTGTAATCTCAGCTGCTCAGGAGGCTGAGGCAGGAGAATTGCTTGAACCTCAGAGGCAGAGGTTGCAGTGAGCTGAGATCGTGCCACTTCACTCCATTCTGGATGACAGAGCAAGACTCTTATCTCAAAGGAAAAAAAAAATGAGTTTGTGTCCTTTGTAGGGACATGAATGAAGCTGGAAACAGTCATTCTCAGCAAACTAACACAGGAACAAAACCAAACACTGCATGTTCTCACTTGTAAGTGGGTGTTGAAAAATGAGAATACATGGACACAGGGAGGGGGACATCACACACTGGGGCCTGCTGGGGGTGGGGCCCAAAGGAAGGGAGAACATGCAGGACTTAAAAACCTAGATAATGGGTTGATTAGTGCAGCAAGCCATCATGGCACATGTATACCTATTTTACAAATCTGTATCTTCTGCTCATGTATCCCAGGGTTTAAAGTAAAAAAAATTAATTAGCAAAGCATGGTGTGTACCTGTAGTCATAGCTACTTGGGAGGCTGAGACAGGAGAATCCCTTGAGCTGGGGAGGCGGAGTTTGCGGTGAGCTGAGATCGAGCTACTGCACTCCCAGCCTGGGCAACAGAGTGAGACTCTGTCTCAAAAAATAATAAGAAGAAAAAGAATTATAAGTTCAACTTGGGATATCGCAAGCATTTATTTATTTATTTATTTATTTATTTATTTATTTATCTATCTATCTCAAGCATTTAAACAAGTCTAGAGAGTAGAGGTAAAAAGATCATATTGCTACAGTAAGCTGCACACTATCATAAATGACAAAATTAATTTTCCATTCCCTCAGCCTTGTTTTGGTTGTGGCAAATGTAAATGGCCATGAACTACATATCTTACAGTATTTGATATCCAGTGGTAGTCTTTATAAACAGAATAGTAAGATTTTGACTCCTACACTGGTTGGGAATTAGTAAAATTGTTTCTGGCATTATAGTTTTGCATGAAGTTCTTTTTTTCATCAATTTGCCAAAATTAAAAATAATTTCAGGCCGGGCGCGGTGGCTCAAGCCTGTAATCCCAGCACTTTGTGAGGCCGAGGCGGGTGGATCACGAGGTCAAGAGATCAAGACCATCTTGGTCAACATAGTGAAACCCTGTCTCTTCTAAAAATACAAAAAATTAGCTGGGCATGGTGGCGCGTGCCTGTAATCCCAGCTACTCAGGAGGCTGAGGCAGGAGAATTGCCTGAGCCCAGGAGGCAGAGGTTGCGGTGAGCCGAGATCGCACCATTGCACTCCAGCCTGGGTAACAAGAGCGAAACTCCGTCTCAAAAAATAATAATAATAATAATAATTTCAGAAGTAGCCAAAATTAGTGCTTAGGCTAATAGTAGGCAATATATGCCAATGTATAGACTTAGATACTGGTTTCTTCCTCCTCCTCAATTTTTCAGATTATTCCCTTTTCCCCTCCTTTTTCCCCACCAGTAACATTTAGGCTTGTCACTGGCCCCTGTGAGCACCACTAGCACAAATATAACTAAAAAAGGTAAAGAGGTTGTAAGTTCTATCTTTTGATTTCTGGATTGCGTGGGATTGGCTTTTTTTTTTTTTTTTTTTTCTTTTTTTCTTTTTTTGTGTGAGACAAGGTCTTGCTCTGTCTCTCATGCTGGAGTCCAGTGATGCGATTATGGCTGGTGTGATATGGCTCACTGCAGTGGCAACCTCCCAGGCCCAAGCAATCCTCTTCTCACCTCAGCCTCCCCAGTTCCAGCTATTGCTAATTTTTTTTTTTTTTTTTTTTTTTTTTTTTTTGAGATGGAGTTTCGCTCTTGTTACCCAGGCTGGAGTGCAATGGCGCGATCTCGGCTCACCACAACCTCCGCCTCCTGGGTTCAGGCAATTCTCCTGCCTCAGCCTCCTGAGTAGCTGGGATTACAGGCACGCGCCACCATGCCCAGCTAATTTTTTGTATTTTTAGTAGAGACGGGGTTTCACCATGTTGACCGGGATGGTCTTGATCTATTGACCTCGTGATCCACCCGCCTCGGCCTCCCAAAGTGCTGGGATTACAGGCTTGAGCCACCGCGCCCGGCCTCGCTATTGCTAATTTTAAAATTTTTGTAGAGTCATTGGGTGGAGGAGTCTCCTTATGTTGCCCAGGCTGGTCTCAAACTCCTGGGATGAAGTGATTCTCCTGCCTTGGTCTTCTACAGCATTGGAATTACAGGCATGAGCCACCACACCAGATTGAGATTGGCTTTTAATAGTTCCAGAAAGCTATAGGGAGATTGACTTCAACTAAATATAAGAAGAAAATTTCTAATAACTAGTACTAACTGGGCTTCCTTGAAACATAGTGGGTTCTCCAGCATTGAAGATACTCAGACAAAAGCTGGATAGATGCCACTCATTGAGATTGTTTTAGACAGAACTCAGACATTGGGTAGGGAGTAAAAATAGACTTCGAAATTCCTTTGAGCTTTAAGATTCTCTTACTTGATCTGTGATCTCTGGTTTCTCCATTAGTCCTCTGCTGCATCCCTCTGTGGTAATGAAATATAGAAGTAAATTGTTATGGGGCAACTGCAAATGATTCAGGTAGTAACTTCAGGCAAAAGTTGTTACAGATCACATCTCTCTGTCTTGCAATTCATGCATCTCCAAACAATGAGACCATAGTCTTTTTTTTCTTTTGAGACAGGGTCTCACTCTGTCACCCAGGCTGGAGTGCAGTGGTGTGGTCTCAGCTCAATGAAACCTCCTCTTACCAGGCTCAAGCCATCCTCCCACCCCAGCCTGCTGAGTAGCTGGGACCACAGGCGCATATCACCATGCCCTGTAATTTTTTTGTATTTTTAGTAGAGGTGGGGTTTCACCTTGTTGCCCAGGCTGGTCATGAATTCCTGAGCTCAAGCCATTCGTTATTTTTCCTGATCCTCTCCCTCCTCCCACCCTCCACTCTCGTATAGGCCCCAGTGTGTGTTGTTCCCTCTAGGTGTCCATGTGTTCTCATCATTTAGTTGCCACTTAGAAGTGAGAACATGCAGTATTTTGCTTTCTGTTCCTACAGTAGTTTGCTAAGGATATAGACTTATGCAGCTTATTGGCAGTTTCCCAACCCCTGGCTTTTATTAAGATGATGATATCTGGCTAGGCTTGGTGGCTCACTCCCATAATCCCAGTGCTTTGAGAGGCCAAGGAGGGCAGATTGCTTGAGCTTAGGAGTTCAAGACCAGCCTTGGCAACATGATGAAACCCCATCTCTACAAAAATTACCCAAAAAAAAGATGGTGCTATCTGCAGCATACCCAGTGACATTTTCTTAAGTATTGGCTGTATTGCTGATCAGCTTGGGCAAGTGAACCAAACCTCAAAGGTCATTTGGGGAGGCCATCTGAAGGACTGATATGGCAGTGACTTTACTCTCCACATTTAGCCACACATTCAATCCAAAATATTAGGTCATTTTCCAACTTTTTTTTTTTTTTTTTTTTTGAGAAGGAGTTTCGCTCTTGTTACCCAGGCTGGAGTGCAATGGCGCGATCTCGGCTCACTGCAACCTCCGCCTCCTGGGTTCAAGCAATTCTCCTGCCTCAGCCTCCTGAGTAGCTGGGATTACAGGCATGTGCCACCGTGCCCAGCTAATTTTTTTGTATTTTTAGTAGAGACGGGGTTTCACCATGTTGACCGGGATGGTCTCGATCTCTTGACCTCGTGATCCACCCGCCTCAGCCTCCCAAAGTGCTGGGATTACAGGCTTGAGCCACCGCGCCCGGCTCATTTTCTAACTTTTTTTCTTTTCTTTTCTTTCTTTCTTTCTTTTTTTTTTGAGACAGAGCTTTGCTCTTGTTGCCCAGGCTGGAGTGCAGTGGCATGATCTCTGCTCACTGCAACCTCTGCCTCCCAGGTTCAAGTGACACTCCTGTTTCGGTCTCCTGAATAGCTGGGATTACAGGTCCCTGCCACCATGCCTGGCTAATTTTTTGTATTTTTAGTAGAGATGGGGTTTCACCATGTTAGGCAGGCTGATCTCGAACTCCTGACCTCCTGATGTGCCTATGTTGGCCTCCCAAAGTGCTGGGATTACAGGCGTGAGCCACCATGCCTGGCCTTTTTTTCCTTTCTTAGTTACCAGGCACAGTCACTATCTTTGCTTCAAGGTTCTGTACTTATACCTCTTAGATACCAGGAACTAGCGTGCTGTGGTGACATGCACCTGTAGTTCTAGCTACTCAGGAGGCTGAGGCAGGAGGATCACTTGAGCCCAGGAAGTCAAGGCAGCAGTTAGCCATGGTAGTGCCACTGCACTGCGGCCTGAGTAACAGAGATCTTGTTCCCCATGCCCCTAAAAAAAGGAATACAGTCGTTCTCTGTCTGGTCCTTTCATGAGGTAGGTTTTGTCCCTCTGACATTAAATTACATTCCACAGGACGAAGTAACTCACTATTTGGCCCAGAGAAAGGGTAACCCTAATTTTCAAGTCATCCACATTACTTTGACGTCTTTGAGAGAATAGCATTATCTCTCATCCTTTGGCCTCTGGTTAGAGAGTTGGAACCTCTGCTTTGCCACCATGTGACTGTACTTGAAATTCCTTTAGCTTAAACTTAGTATCATTTGTTTCATTATACATACACACACAATATTTTAGAAATCGAATTAAGCTTGACTTAATTACTTTATAGGTAAATCACCTTCTGAGCCTTTGATTCCCAAGAGGGTTGGTCTTATTCATATATCCCAAGTCATTTCAGAAGTTGATGGTAACAGGATGACCTTGAGCCAAGAAGCAGCACAGGATTCCTTCCCTCTTCAGCAGAAGATCTTGGTCTGCTCTTTGATGCTGTTGATCAGACAGTTGAAAATCAAAGAGGTCACTCTGGGGAAGGTAAGTTGGTATGGAGCAGATGGAGCAGAGGTAGAGATGAGAATCTGCTTTGCAGAGCAGATATTTTCCAAAAGGCCTATGATACTTTAGCTGATAGGAATTTAAAATGGATTTTAACAGTAAGAATTAATACTGGTAATGGCCGGGTACGGCGACTCATGCCTATAATCCTAGCACTTTGAGAGGCCGAGGAGGGTGGATTACCTGAGCTCAGGAGTTCGAGACCAGCCTGGGGAACACAGTGAAACCCCTGTCTCTAGTAAAAATACAAAAAAGAAACAGCTATCAGTACAATAGTTATCAGTATTAGCCGGGCGTGGTGGTGTGCGCCTGTAATCCCAGCTACTAGGGAAGCTGAGACAGGAAAATTGCTTGAACCCAGGAGATGGAGGTTGCAGTGAGCTGAGATTGCGCCATTGTACTCCAGCCTGGGCAACAGAGCAAGATTCCATCTAAAAGAAAAAAATTAATTAGCTAGGCATGGTGGTGCATACCTGTGATCCCAGCTTCTCAGGAGGCTGAGGCAGGAGAATTGCCTGAACCCAGGAGGCGGAAGTTGCAGTGAGCCGAGATCGCGCCATTGCACTCCAGCCTGGGTAACAAGACCAAAACGCTGTCTCAAGAAAAAAAAAAAAAAAATACTGGTGCTATATAAAAGGCACCTATTTTCCTTGGGTTGTGGTTGAGAGTTTACCATTTATCTTTCCCCATGCTCCCCTTCATTTCTGCATCTCTCTGGTATATATAAAGCCCCTTTCCTACATTACTGTATAGGCTTTTGGGAATGTCTACAGAATGACTTTAAGGATTTTATTGAAAAGAGGAAAAAATAGGGTATTCAGATAAGTTTTTTGCTAACTCAGACTCACGTTTCTTAAATGATTAAAGGCTATAAGCAATGTGACTTTTAAGCAGCGTTTGTTCTCCCTTGTTTCCTCCCAGTTATATGAAGCCTATAGCAAAGTATGTCGCAAACAGCAGGTGGCGGCTGTGGACCAGTCAGAGTGTTTGTCACTTTCAGGGCTCTTGGAGGCCAGGGGCATTTTAGGATTAAAGAAAAACAAGGAAACCCGCTTGACAAAGGTACAACTGCTTTTTTGTGACAGTGTTTTTAATTGTCCTATTTTGTAGAGTGATGCTAAAGTAAAGGTTTACTGTTACACAAGATGACCATAGTTAAGTCATTTTTTGTCAGCTAAGGTTTAAGGTGTGTAAAGATGGGAGTGTGGTATAAATATTTTTTCAGGCTATTGGAAAAAAAAGTGTTTAGCTTTCTTGCCTCTTGTGAGAAAAGTTTAATATGCTAGAAGTTTCTGTACTGATAACTTTGCTATTGTGAGTTCTCCAGCATGAAAAATCCTTTTCTCTTTTTTCCAGGTGTCTTTCAAGATTGAAGAGAAGGAAATAGAGCATGCTCTGAAAGATAAAGCTTTAATTGGAAATATCTTAGCTACTGGATTGCCTTAAATTCTTATCTTACACCCCACCCAAAAGTATTTATCTGGCATTTAGAGAGCTACAGTCTTCATTTTAGTGCTTTACACATTCAGGTCTGAAAACAAATATGACCTTTTTTACTTGAAACCAATGGATTTTAATCTATAGATTCTTTAATATCAGCACAGAATAATATCTTTAGATCTTATTATTTTTACCTTTAAAAGTGATCAGGTAGCCGGGCGCCGTGGCTCACGCCTATAATCCCAGCACTTTGGGAGGCCGAGGCAGGTGGATCACGAGGTCAAGAGATCGAGACCATCCTGGTCAACATGGTGAAACCCCGTCTCTACTAAAAATACAAAAACTAGGCCGGGTGCGGTGGCTCAAGCCTGTAATCCCAGCACTTTGGGAGGCCGAGGCGGGTGGATCACGAGGTCAAGAGATCGAGACCATCCTGGTCAACATGGTGAAACCCTGTCTCTACTAAAAATACTGAAAATTAGCTGGGCATGGTGGCGTGTGCCTGTAATCCCAGCTACTCGGGAGGCTGAGGCAGGAGAATTGCCTGAACCCAGGAGGCGGAGGTTGCGGTGAGCCGAGATCGCACCATTGCACTCCAGCCTGGGTAACAAGAGTGAAACTCCGTCTCAAAAAAAAAAAAAAAAAAAAAGCGATCAGGTAGATCCTTTTTAATTACATTCACTGCTTCTACCACTGTGTATCTCTAGCCAGTGTGCTTACAAGTGTACAGATCTGAAATGTGTTTATATTTACCTCTTTGTTTGTTCAAATATGAGTGTGTTTTTGTTTTTGTTTTTTTGAGACTGAGTCTCGCCCTGTTGCCCAGGCTGGAGTGCAGTGGCACAATCTTGGCTCACTTCAGCATTCACTTCCTGGGATCAAGTGATTCTCTTGCCTCAGCCTCCCGAGTAGCTGGGATTACAGGTGGGCACCACCACACCCGACTTATTTTTGTATTTTTAGTAGAGATGGGGTTTTACCATGTTGGCCAGGCTGGTCTTACACTCCTGACCCTCAAGTTATCTGTCCACCTCGGCCTCCCAGAATGCTAGGATTACAGGTGTGAAACACCGCCCCTAGCCATGAGTGTATTTTGTTCAGAACTTTGAGGTTAGGGTAAGAAGAATGTAAAAGAATGATCCAGGAAAATTAAGCAAGTCCACGTGGAGATTTGGAGGACACTGGTTAAAGAATTTATTTATTTTCAGAGTATACTATGTTCACAGCGCAGATACTACGACATTGTGACATTTTAAAGGCTCTTTGAGTTTCTTGGGCACCTCCAAGGGCACTGGGGTTGTAAGGAGACTGTAACTACAGATTGTGAATATATTTATTTTCAAGTTGTATTCTTTGTCTTTTTAAGCAATTAGATTTCAAGAGCGCTCATGCTTTCAAAAGTAAGTGAAAATTTCTTCCTAGACTGTCCCACAGTCTTTGTGGTCCTTAGATGAAACCACTTGTTTCAAGATGCCTTAGTTTGGGGTTGGGTTTTCATCTAAACACATTTTTTCCAGTCTTAGATAAATTAGTTCATATGGTTGGTTAATCAAGAGTCTTCTGGGTTTGGTTTGGTGCCATTAAATGGCAATTTGTGACTGAGACACCAGAGGGCACCATTATAGCGTTGACTACTTTGAAAGTGGATGCTTGGGGCTGAGGTAGTTTTGAGGGAAAGGGGGAAGTTCTCATTTGATTTGTTTGGGAGATTGCTGTACTTTTATAACTTAAGCAAATACCTGAAATGTAAACCATGTATGATATGAATGATCTGAGAGCCAGTGACCCTGAGCTCTCCTGCTGCTGCCTCTACCTTTCTGACATGGCCTTCCATCTGGGAATTTGATACATGTACAAATGATCCGTTGGCCACTGTTTCATTCATCCTGCCCACTGTATCCTTGTAATGTGATCTGAGCTCCAACAGGTGGTATGGTATAGAGGCAGGGAAAGCAGAGAGAGCTCTCTGAAATGAACACTACCCACTGGTGTGTGTAGCACAAGATAGTCTGTAGGCATGAGTCTAAATGTGGTTCTCACCCTCACACTTGTTTACTAGAGCATTCATTCCCTCTGAAGGTAGTTTGCACATGGGAAACACAGTTCTATATCTAGAAGGTTGGAAAGTGTCTGGGATTATAAGGGTTAACAGTCATTGCAAAGATTGTCCGAAGGCTGATGGAAAGCAGAGACTGAATGGGATTGAGAACAGATGCGAAGCTTGATTTAAATTACATTTTATTGGATGCTGCAGCCTTAAGAGACGTGACTGCTTTACAGTTTGTTTCCACACTGTGGGCAGCTGCTGTCTGTTCTGTGTCCACAGTAGGATCTTGCCCAATAAGGAGCAGCCTCCCCACCTCGTTGTGTTTGAGGCTTGGCGCCTTCCTCTTAACTGTAGGGCTTGAGTCAGGAACATGGCTTGACTCGCAGTGGGGCTGCTATGTATCCTCCCTGGCTTCCAGCCAAAATCACATTGGTAGATTCAAAGGGGCCAAATTTCTTTCCCTTCTACCTCCTTTCTCTCCCTTTCTCCTGGTATTTGGAAATAGGGTTTTCTGTCTACTGATTTGTTAGCTTCCTTTTCTTTATTTCTCCCCCCACTGTCAATTTCTAGGTCATTGCTGCTCTTAAGACTTTAGCAATTGGAACAGGGTTGGTTCCGCAATGATGCGTGAAGCAGACTTGGTGTCCCTGCTTGGCTTCCGCTGCCCTGTTGGGAGCAAAAGCTGATATATGTTTGTCAGTAAAGTCTTAAGTGTAATTCAGACCTCTGAGGAAGAAAGCTCTTTCCTTTCTGGCTTTTCTCACTGAAGCTGAGAGCTACAGGAAGGTGGTAGGAGTTTTAGTGGGATGGGATGGACTTGTGGTTAGCACTTTTTGCCAGGATCATAGGCTACTTCACTTAGAGTAGTGGCAAAGATGCTGACCTACATTCTTCCTTTTGAAGGTGGTGGAGTGTGTGCTATATCCTGGTTAATCTCTTTCCCCATCCCAAGGAAGCTGATTAAGCTTCCATAGAGTGTTGGGTATTGCCATGGAAAGAGCATAGACAAAATAAATTGGTGTGTGTTTCAACCCGAGAGCTGCCACAGACATTTCTGGCTCAATGAAGACTTGCCTGTGGCTGGCTAACTGCAAGAATGTGTGAGGTCCAGTCTGGGTGCGGTGGCTCACGCCTGTAATCTCAGCACTTTGGGAGACGGAGGCAGGCAGATCACCTGAGGTCAGGAGTTCGAGACCAGCCTAGCCAACATGGCGAAACCTTGTCTCTACTAAAATTAGCCAGGCATGGCAGCATGCACCTGTAATCCTGGCTACTGGGAGGCTGAGGCAGGAGAATCACTTGAACCTTGGAAGCGGAGGTTGCTGTGAGCCGAGATTGCACCATTGCACTACAGCCTGGGCGACAGAGTAAGACTCTTGTCTCAAAAAAAAAAAAAAGGGCCGGGCGCGGTGGCTCAAGCCTGTAATCCCAGCACTTTGGGAGGCCGAGGCGGGTGGATCACGAGGTCGAGAGATGGAGACCATCCTGGTCAACATGGTGAAACCCCGTATCTACTAAAAATACTAAAAATTAGCTGGGCATGGTGGCGTGTGCCTGTAATCCCAGCTACTCAGGAGGCTGAGGCAGGAGAATTGCCTGAACCCAGGAGGTGGAGGTTGCGCCGAGATCGCGCCATTGCACTCCAGCCTGGGCAACAAGAGTGAAACTCCGTCTCAAAAAAAAAAAAGAAAAAGAAAAGCCAGGTGCCATGGCTTATACCTGTAATCCCAGCACTTTGGGGGGCCAAGGCGGGTGGATCACTTGAGGGCTGGGAGTTCAAGACCAGCCTCGCCAACATGGTGAAAGACTGTCTCTACTAAAAGTAGAAAAACGCTGGGTGCCATACATGCCATAATCACAGCTACTCTGGAGGCTGGGACAGGAGAATTGCTTGAGCCTGGGAGGTGGAGGTTGTAGTGAGATGAGATCATGGCACTCTACTCCAGGCTGGGTGACAGAGTGAGACTGTCTCAAAAAATATGTGAGGTCCAAGCTACCCAGAGATAGTTGGTAGAGCCTTATTTTTGTGCCCCCACTACTACCAAGTCACATTGCTCCTTACCTTTATTAAGTGTCCCTTTGAATATACACCAAGGTAGGTGTGGTGACTCATGCCTGTAATGCCAACACTTTGGGAGGAGGTGACAGCAGGAGGATTATTTCAAGTCAGGAGTTTGAGACCAGCTTGGGCAACATAGTGAGAACCTTTTTCCCCCAGCTTCTCTACCAAAAAGGAAATCTTAAAAGTTAGTTGGGCATAGTGGTATGCACCTGTAGTCCTAGCTACTCAGGAAGCTGATGTGAGAGAATGCTTTGAGCCCAGAAGTTCAACTCAGCATGGGCTGTAATCATACCACTGCATTACAGCCTGGGTGACAGCGAGACCCTGTCTAAGAAGAAAAAGCAAACACCAATAAGAATGAGAAGTTGGGAATAATATGTAACGTAGGTTATATTTTAAAAAAATATATCTTGAGAGGTGTTACCTTGACTGCTGAGGGAGAACAAAAGAGAGCCAATATTGAAATTTTATTTACATTTGTATCTGTCCCTAGCAATTAGTATAGTACCTCATACCTGGTACGTACTCAATAGTTGAACAGATAAATGAACCAAGTAAGATGCTGCTGTTCCCTCCATGGTGAGGACAGTTTTAAGCTGAAGTTATATGTTGGTGGTTCTTTTGCACAGAGGTGGAGCAGGCCCCCGCGTAAGAAGGGTGCTGTGTCTTACCAAATGTGTCTTGGCACAGTTTTGGAGCATTTGTTAGCCTCACAGATGATTTCCAATTGTTCCCTCTGATGTAGTGGCATTTTGCTTGAGACACCTATGCTGCTGGTGGGACGCGTTGGCTATGAGGGGAGAGTCTTATCGACAGGCTGTTTGTCTGGATGTTACTTGGTGTGGCTAGATCTGCCAGAAGCTGGGTTTCTAGGCAAGGGTTTAGGGAGGAGCCCACCTTTGATGTCCTACTTTTTAACTTAGGGAAAGTTGTGATCTCAGGGTCCTGAAAAGATAAGGTCCCTTCTTTTAAGCTACAAACAGTGTAGGTCTTCCTCTTAGAAGAGGTGTGTTCTGTAAGGGGAGAAGGTGTGCCCTCTGGCCTCCCCTTGATTTTCAGCTCCAGCCCCAAGGCACTGGCAGTGGAAGTTAATTGGGTGCAAGGGGCTTGGGTAGAGGCTGAAGACTGGCAAAAGGAGAGAGCCAGCTTCGTTTTTTAAAAAGCTCTAATTGAGTTCTGAATCAGCCTCACTCCCTTTGATCCCTCCTCTGTTTCCCACACTGCCTGAAAGAGCTAGATCAGCAGTTTATAACAAGGGTGCGCCTGCTCCCCGCACCACCCCCCTCTCCTGACGCTCTCTGCTGCCGCCATCCACTGCTTGTCTCCTTCAGTTAAGATAATGAAGATGCTGAGAGATAAAATGTGTATTTAATAAGGGTGGGGGTAGGGAGGCGGAAAGGGGCAACCAGGGCCTTCCCTAGTTTGGGGCCTCGCCAAGACTTAAGCTGAAAGCAAAGCTAGAATAAGACTTGGCCCCAGGGTGTGGGGGTTTCTGGGCCTCAATCCAGCTGACTTCACTGCCTGCTGTTTGCCCTAAATTCCCCCACCTCCACCCTCTCAACCCCACACTGCTTTCTTCTTGCTCCCAATGGGAAAAAGGACTCTTGCTTTGACTTTCTTTTCAGCTGGTAACTTGGCCTTTAGTGCGGTGCCCCCCACCCCAGTGTCAGCTGCAAGGTCGAGCTAGGGCAGCCCCCTCTAGCCTAGGCCTGTAGAAGCTGTGGGTTCACAGTGGGGGGTGAAAAAGCTGGAGTTAATGAAGACCAGCTGCTAGTCTGGGTTCTGCCTACAGCTAGCTGGAGGCCAGCCTTTAGTGGTGGTTGATGGGGGGTGGGGTGACCTCCATCCATGGGCACAAGGATATCCTGTGGCAGCAGCTAGGCTTGTGCTTCTCTGAGCTTAGTTTTATCCTTAGTTTGTGAGAGAGTAGTCTGTTTCCTTCTCCCCTACTCCTCTCCCCAAATAACACTTAGCTCTTATTGAACATTATAGCTGTAGTGGTGGCCCAGCTGAGATCTGAGGATCTCCAAGCCCTTTTGTAAACACTCATTAACTGCCTGGGAAGAACGAAGAGCCCTGTTTAACAGCTGGGAGAGAACTGAGGCACATTAGGGTGAAAGGCTTGACCTAAACTCACCCCATGGACTCCACCCTGGGGCCTTCCATCCTCACTGCCCAGCTCCTTTTCTGAGTTCTTCCTGGAAGACAAAAAAGAGGTGTGGAGGCATTGCTGGTGTCTTCTCCTCTTCTAGGGAGAGGCCATGCCCTCTCCTCTCAAGTCTGTCCCT